AAACGATGTCTCAAGCAATGGAAGCCTCTGGCTAAAAGATCTCACTTCCAACCAGGAGGGAATGTACACCTGTCAGTCTGGTAACAACGACGGAAAATCTGAAAAAAGCACGGTTTTGAACATCATAAATGGTAAGAACCAGAAAGGTTTAGATTACAAACTCTAAATGAAACAAAATCCATTGAAATAAACCACATTACAATGTTTAGTCAATTTCTTGTTTCGGATTGTTTGGCCCAGGAGAACTAGATATGAGCAGAGGAAGCTAATGCCGGTAGAAAACCTGTAGAATATCTCTTTTTTGTTGTGTCATGTGTTATGCTATGAGAAAAGGAAAAGCAGATCATGTTTATGAGTAAAACTATACAGCAACAGAAACCTGGCTAAGAGGAGCCAGGATCAAGCTTAGAGGAAGCACTTGATCGCAGTGTTGGATCAAAGTCAAATCACAGTCACGTTATAAGCAAACCATCCAGGTCTTTGACTCAAGAATGTGCTGGACCCAAGTGATTGTTACTCTGACAGTAGTGTGATGGCTGTTTCCTCATCTACTTAAATATATAGCTCATAGGGGTTAGAAATGGTGATAATTAGAAGCGCTAAATGCCTTGGGTGTGAAAATAGCCTAATTTTATAACAAAACAAAGTAGTAAATAAAGTAGTAGACATTCATGCTACACATAAAACATATTCTGAGTTTTGTTTATGTATGTGGTGTCTGTGTATGCAAATTATTTAAAACCTCTAGTGCAAATGTTTTTGTTTTTAATTTTTCTTAAATTTCTTTCTGTTCTAGATGGCGGGAGTAACACTGCTGGCATTGTTGTAGGAGTGATTTTTGGAATAATAATGCTCCTAATATGTCCATGTGTGGTAATTTGTTGTCGAAGACGGGTAAAAAAATTTTTTTCTCATATTTTCTATTCAAATTTTTGTTCATATATTTTTCTTCTTCAATGAAATGAAATTGATCTTTTATGATCTTTTAACTCCTTTACAGTGTTGATGACGGATGCGGAATTAATCCTTCAAATTCTTTCACATCAATGACTCTCAACTAGTAAATAACAGTTTAAGTGGTGAAGACACTGCAAAGCAGCTGAACCATAGTGTGTCTCCTAATCTACCCTTTAAGACTGCACTGATCAGCTATTCCTGGTGTTCTCAGACATTTTAACACACCATCATAGACATGTCATGCACCAGCATGTCTTAAAACCACACCAATCATCCCTTAAAAAACAACAAAAACAAGGACCCCAGGACTAAATAATCCATCCAACTGATCGCTTTGGTAATGTGGTCTTAAAGCATTACAGACCTACTTCACTGCTGTTTGCCTACAGTGCTTTATGGAAGCAGTAAACATGGCTCCTTACTGCATCCTGTATCAGCTGAGCTTCCAAGGAACCTCCCTGGTTTTGAACACCAGCTCTGCTTGCCAACATCATCCCAGCTCTGCAGCAGGACAAGCTCTCCCAGCTGATCATGCCTGACTCTACCAGCACATGGATCACAGACTTCCTGACAGACATCAATCAGTATGTGAAGCCAGGGAAACAGGTCTCTAATTATAGAGCACTCAAAGGCAGATACCGTTTGGGTATAAATTTAGATCCTCCAGAGGAAGCTAGCTGGAGAGAGGATCTGGATTTTTTTTCAAAGACCTGTTACCTTGTGTCTGAAACTTGGAGGATGGACACTAAAAACTCAAAAAAGGGTAATTTCCAACATCTGTAATCAGAGGTGCTGATGGCAGCCGCCCAGCTGATATTTCTCTCCAGGATGAGATCACAGCCAAACAGAACCAGGCCAGATGAAGCTAATACGAGAAAAATCTGAGAGAACATAAATTTAGGGGTTGAACAAATAAATATTGCATAATTGGAGAACAGAGATGGAATATAGCAGACTGATATTGTTGTTTTATTTTGGCAGCCATTTTGTTCAATTGTTTAATGTTCCTTTGAGTTCATGTAATGTTTCACACTTTATATGTCTCCATTTTCGATTATATTTTAAGTCAACGTCATGTTGGTTTATGTTTTTTTTTCTTTTGTTTGTTTTTTTGCCATTATGTTTTTTATTCTATTTTCAGTTGAAGGATTTTAGAGCAGCTTACATCTTCAGGTTTCTCTCCTAGCTGTAAGTAATTACTCTATATTAAAACTTGGGAATGTTATACTTAATAGAAACATATTAAATTTGAAAAATAAACAAAAACACCCACCCAAACACAGATTTTATATTTTGAATGTAGTGCTTATCCAATTTTACCTGATTTATCATAATTCAGTTAAAGACCAATCATTTTCTCACTTTCCTCGAACCCTAATATACCTGAGGGTGCAGTTTTTTTTCCGAGCGTCAATCATCATTTGAACCAATTAAACAGCCGAGATAAACTGAGGTTCCTCACAGTTGCTAAACACACTATGTTTAACAGCAGTATGAATAATATTGGTTTCAAATCTATGATGCTGCCCTAATGCACCTGTCAAACTTTAATGTACGTATTTTACACTTAAATTATTTACCTCTAATGAGTTTTCTTGATAAATAAAATAAAAGTTATAAATGTATAAAACACCATAGCTAGTTATTGGTCATAGTGATCTTTAGATTCCCCTAAAAACAGGGTATGAGATGCTTTGGAAATACAATCATCAAGAAGACCGTCATCTCAGTAGTCACAGCTTACCACTGTTTATTTGCATCCTATGTTTTATCTTTAAACTTTGTATAAAGTCTGACTGCCTGAGTGAAAGTGGTTGCTACTGGTAAGACAAATATTTATATGTATTTTTGAATAAAATTTTTGACAAACTAGTAAATATTTCAACCTCATTTGTTCTGAAAAAAAGTAAGGAATTATAATAATGTTGCAGTAAAATGAGCTGATTTTTAAAACAAACAAGTGATTAATAGAGACTATCATCTTACCTTGGACTGGAATGGAATGATAAGAGATTACCGTAATTTTCAGACTATAAGCTGCTACTTTTTCCCCATTTTCCGACCTAGCGGCTTATATAACGATGCAGCTTAACTCTGGACTTTTACAGCTAATGGCCACTAGGGTAATACCTAAATCTATGGATTTTACCATCCACCATGTTGACGTCACATTTGCTTCAACACACAAGTACGGTGGCGGCGCGCTACCATGCTCTCCGGAAGAAGACTTCTACCGCGAGTGGTACGAGACAGAACGACAGCGATAAAGACGGACATTGCGAGCGCAAGAAAGTTTGTGTTAAACATAAAAAATCTGCAGCTTATAGTCCGGAGCGGCTTGTATATGTACAAATCATGCAATTTAGCTTCTGCGGCTTATATTCAGGTGCGGCTAATAGTCCGAAAATTATGGTATCTTTCCTTTGTATTCCAATGAAATGTAATAAACAGGTAAATCTGGTATCCTGATCATAAATAATTGTTATTATAAGAAAAACATGTTTAAAACAGCGTGCCAATGGTAAATGTGCACCACATAGACCTTCAAGGTGGAAGGTCACCACCCCTGGTCCAACAACCCTTAAGACATGACAGACCTGGTCTGGAGGAATATACAGGTGTGCACATGTATTACAAGTATATTAGCAGAATGTTGTTTTGGTTAAAGGAGATCTCATGTTAGACATTTACATCTTATGGTGCACTTCTTGCCTTCACCAGTGTATTTCATTGACTGTCCTGCCACACGTTTCAATCTAAAAAAACTTACATGGAGAGAAAAGACAGAAGAAATTTACGGATACAGTTCCTTTAGTCTTTGGCGCTCAGACCTCGGCAGGAAACATAGCGCTGAATGTTGATTGACATGCATGAACAGGAGTAAAGAACAGGGCTGTTTCCCCCAAGGCATGAAACTGATGGTGGAGTGGAGATAGATGAAGTTGGTCAGTCTGTAGACTGCTGGTTAGCGAGACGGTCTACTGAGCTTTATGGGGAGATCCAGATGATTGCGTGAGCTGATACTAGAGCTTCACCCAGGGACCTGGAAGATGGAAGTCCAGTTTGGAAAACACAGGTTGAAAGAACCTGTCCATGATGAGCAAGCATGAAGGAACAGTAGAGAGGAAAAACTCTTGGTTGGGAAGAAACCTCTGGCAGAATCAGGCTCAACATGGAGGTTTTCTGCCGGACCGGTTAAGATGAGACAGGGAACACAGTAAGAGTCAGGGAGGAATGACACTCTGATGAAGCTTTAGCTACAATGGTGGAGGAGGGGCTGTAGGCGGGTTAAACGGGGTCATCTGAATGGAGTCAACCACTGCCTGCGCACTAGGAGCAGAAGAGTTGCAGATCTGAGGCCTTTTAAGATGGAGTTTTGATGCCAATTGGCTTTCGTGGAGGTGTGGTTCAAAGCTGATTGGCTGTCTCGTAGGCGAATAAAGGTGAGTAATCAGTTTATTCAGTTGAACTAGTTTACTGCTCAAAGCAACCAAAGCAGAAGATTACATTTGCATTATTTCTGGTTTGTAATGTGCAGACATATTGCAGTCAGGTAAAAAAAAAATTATAGAAAAAATTCTACGATTCTGTTCTTCTCAGCCCCAACAACACCAAGCAAGAAATATAAAATGCGCCAAGTGGACTAGAACCATGTGAAATAGAGCTCAAGCTGAACTAACATGTTTAGCATTACATTCTATGAGCTCTTTCTAAAACTTCCTGTGATCCAACAGTATTCATTTATGTCTTGATTTTCTGAGAAAGCGCTCTTATTCTAATGTGAAAATGAAAAAAACTGTCCTATAACTTCATATAAAATAACAAATTTATATGGTTGGGAAAGCTCCCAGAGATTTATATATTTTTTTTTTGTTCTCTTCTGAGAAATCTGAGCACAGAAAACAGAGATTAAACTTTTATGTTTTTGTTTCCTTGTATGTCAGTGTTTGTGTTTGTTCCTGGAGAATTAACAGGTGTGTTTTCATGATACCAGTTCAGTGAGATGCTTCAAATTTCTGTCACACCTTTTTTGTTTTTACATCGGCTCAGCAGTCGGCTGATGATGTCGATCAGGACGATGGCAGAGCTAAAGTGTGTCGTGTTTTGGGGAATTGTAACGTTATTCTGGACCCTCTGCAGAGGAGGTGAGTGACACATTTAGAGGAAGATTGATTTTAATTCAGCTTTATTACCCTTTACTGGGCTATTAAAATTTACACAGAGCTGTAGGAGAGAGAAAGATGGATCAGAAGTCCAGAGATCAACTCATTGATCTCTGAAGGGATCAAATGGTTCTAGCTATATTCAAAACAAGCGACTGGATTAAAATGTTTGAGGATTAAGAGGTTTTTCAAAAATCTTTTAAAACTATTTTCTTATGTTATAATTTGAATGAATGACAGGGTGAGCATAAAAACATTTTTTTTAAATAACTGATAAATATCCATCATAAGTAAAACAGTAAAAGTTTGTATGATTGCAGTCGTTTTACAAAAGTTTGAGAATTTCTTTTTGCAAATTTCGACATTTAGTTTAAAATAGAATATATTTTTTATAGAAGTTGAGGAATAGTTTTATTGCCTGGTTTGCTGTAGAGAAATAAAACGTTAACATCTTTATGCTTAGAAGTCACAGATTACAGTAGAATACATTATATTATATTTTAAACCGACCACATTTACAGCGATAAAACAGAAACTACAGCCAGGTGAACCAGAGCATGAGTCACCCAGCAAACAGAACTAGTTTGAACACATTCCTTCATCCTTACACAGCAAACGCAACGGAAATGACTTTAATACAAACCAAAACTGCAAAGGCTATGAGGTCACACTTTTGTTTACATCATTTTTTTTATTCTGCCTGAAAAAAATAAAAAATATAAACCTACTGTTGACTCTTCTGTTCTGTATTTTCAGCAGAATTTTCATTGAACTCTACTTAGTCTATAGTGTTATGAAGAATCATTACTTATTCTCTCTTCTTATTCTGCCCACAGATACTTTATACATATGCTTTCAATCCCATTCTCTTTGACTTTGACAGAAACTGAGGTGTCCTGTGTTTTCAATGAGACCTGCGTCTTACCGTGCAGCTTCCAGTCCACCAGTAACCCAACCATCCACTGGACTCATTTGACAGCAGAAGAATCATTGGTTCATTCTTACTATGACCATAAAGACCAAGTTGAACATCAGAACCAAAACTTCAGAGGCAGAACGTTTCTGATTGGGAACCAGGTCTCCTCTGGAAACGCCTCTCTGCTGCTGACAGGTGTGAAGATTCAGGATGAGGGCAGATACAAGTGCAACATCAGCAGCCCAGGAGGAACCAAGCTGTTTTTCATCAATGTAACGGTGGACGGTAGGACAGACACAGAGTTATTTCACCTTTCCCACATTTTCATATCGTAAATATTAGGGCAGTGGTGGTCTAGTGATCAGGGTATAGAGCTTGGAATCCTGAGGTTCTGAGTTTGAGCCCCACTGCCACAGACACTCTGGGTCCCTGAACAAGACCCTTAACCCCACACTGCTCCCTGGGCGCCCAACACTGGCAGCCCACTGCTCCCCAAGGGATGGGTTAAATGCAGAGGAAGATTTCTCCAATGTAAGATCAATAAAGTTCAATTCAATTATTAAATCCAAAGAAGAGAGAAAAAACTTGTGTGATTAAGTCTTAGGTCAGTAATTTCTTTAGCCTTTTATTTAAATTAAACGGTCATGCAGTCCTTACAGCTGTTACTGTGGACTGTGAGGCTACTGATGTTATGAGAGATAAATATATTGATATTCACATCTATTTTTCAAAACAACACAATCTGTAGTAGCTCATCCTGATTTAAATCAGACCAATTGTTTCCTGTTTCAGGTCAGACAGGGTTAAATACGTAATTTAGATTCAGTAAAATCCCAAATGATATGATAATTTAGTAACATTTCCTCAGTACTTGGCAGGAGGGGGGATTTACCATTAGGCAATACTAGGCAGTTGCCAATGGCCCCGAGTTCCTAGGGGCCCCATTAAACTCTGTTTACATGTATGGTTATTTAAAATTATTCCTTATTTGTTTACATTTATTAGGTTTTTCATAAAAATCCATTCGTTAAAATAACATTAGAACATATTCAGTGTATCTCAGCCCCCCCCTCTTCAGTTTCCACCACACTGAATCAGTCCATTTGCTGTACATGTGCAGAAAGGTCCATCCAGACAGCAGCAAACCATTTGAAAACAAACGATACGAAGACCAGTGTTGCAAACTCAGCGCTTTTGTCATTATATTTAGCGACTTTTCAGACCCCTCTAGCACTTTGATTTAAAAAAAGTACCAAGTGCCAAATCTAGCAGCTTTTTTCTGCTAGTGGAGACTTTGGCGACAACATATAAAAGCAGCGAACTCTGCTCTCCAGAGCAAGTAGATTGGTAATCCCACCTCCTGCTCTCCTCTATCATGTCTGCTGTCATGAATCATGCGGCTATTATTTCATAAAAATGAAAAATGGAGAACAGATAAGCAGATCATGACTTTTCTACAGAGAAAAGAAGGACTGGGTTATTTACTTTTGTTTGAAAAAACAGGAAGGAGCAATTTCTTTTAAGAAAATAAATATACATTTGGTAATCCTCCCTGATATACTGTAGATCTGGAAAAGTTTAATCTGATGACTGTTAAAATAAAATTAGCATATAAACTTTACTTATATAGCACTTTGTTTTTAATTCAACATTTAAACACTATCACAATAATATTTCAATTTAAAAATACTTTATATATTGTGTATATATTATACATTAATTTTGCACTTGGAATTAATAATTTAAATAAATTATTAGTATTAATAAAGAAATTAGCTATAAAGAGAGAGAGAAATACATTAATTATAAATAAGGAGGAGATTGTTATTAGATGAGAACACTGGAAATAAAAGAACACTGTGTGATTAGGAAGATAAAACAAGTTAGCAGAACTTTTCAAAAATCAGAAAAGTGATATTTCTTTTCATATTTTTATACTTTTATCAAAAATAAATCCCTAGATGAGATCTGTATCATTTTGTGAAAACAGCAGGTTAAACAAAAAAGCTTTGATTTTGCAGCTCCAGTGAAAACAGTCCACCTCCAGCAAACAGAAAACAGGATCACCTGCAGCGCAGATGGGATCTACCCTGAACCCCAACTGACCTGGTCCACCATCCCTCCGACCAACATGCTGCTCAGGAGCTCGACAACGGTCCGCCTGACCGAACAGCAGCTTCACAACATCAGCAGCCTTCTGATAGTTCCTGACAACACGAATCTGACCTACAGCTGCACCATCAGGACTCGGTGGAACAATAAGACGGCCAGTCTGGGGAAACAGGAGAAGACAAGTAAATATAAATATAAACAGTCATTAAGCTGTTTGTAAACAAAAAAAAAACAAATCAAATCCAAAGATCTAGAAGCAAACCTCAGTTGTTCTGTTTTCTATCTGATACAAAGAAAATAATTTCTTTTTTTGTTCGTTCAGATACAGGTAGAGGGATTGCAATAGTTGCTGTAGTCATTTTGGTGACGGTATCAATGAGCCTGGTGCCATGTTTTGCCGAAAAATTAAAAAAGGTAAGGTTGCTTTGCATTTTTTCCTCTTTTAATTTAAAAGTTAACATCTATTAGCATCTAAAAACAGCTAATTATTGGATGGTAAAGGGATGAAGAGCTGTATTTCTATTGATTAAGTTCCTGAAGCGCCACTAAGCTAAGTTTTTGCTTCTCCCATCAGCTCTGGGAATCCAAATGCTCTAATAAAAAGAAGATCTTGAAAACAGAAGAACTGGAGTGTGAAACAAGCATCATTCAGGCGTAAATATACAAGCACTGCACTAGTGTATTTTCCCAGCACAAATAGCTTTTTAAACTTTATGTCTTAAACATGCTGTTCACTCTTTATCATTTTGCAGGACTGAACTGAATGCAGTAACCAGTATGGAAAAAGGCTCCTCGTCTCCCGGCACAGAGAAACCAAATAAGTGTGAATTCTACATAAGTAGAGATGAAGACGAGCTGGCCTCCTCCCTGGGAACTTAGGGTTGAAGGAGATTTTAGGCTTTTGATAGCAGCTTTAGGGAAACGTCAAGAGCTTTGGTTGATTTGGTTCAGAGCTCAGCATGGATGCATCAGCTGGATTAAGTCTGATTGATCCATGTCTACAAAAACCTCCTCGCCATGACAGAGGAAAGAGAAAACTTTAATCAATGAGTCAAACAGACACTGATCCTGCAAGGTTACAGCACCTCATTTCTCTGCTCCAACACGCCTGATTCTAGTGAGTCAGCATTAACATTCAAGGAGAAGAATCCTCCTTCTAAGTGTGATCCACCTGCTGTAATATAAAAGCCCTGCAGTGGACGGTGAGGGGATCTGAAACGGTGCTTTGAGGATTCCTGACTTCTGTCCAGGAGAGAGATACTGCAGGAGAACGGTGGTGAACGTTGAGAATAAACTTCTCGAACCCTCTAAAACATTTTGACGTGCTGTCTTCTGACAAACACTATCAGAACCAGAAAAGTTTTCTACTTCAGACTGGTGTTAATATTAGGTCTGTTATATTATTGCACTTAATATG